ATTAAATAAAGTTATTTGTCAGAAAATTAGTCAATAAAATTTTATTAAAATTTTTATATTATAACATTATTACATAGTGATAGTTATAATTATTTAATTACATCATAATTTCACAAACTCGTATACCTATTACTAATCACGTGCACTCGCCAAAAAAAAAATATTTGATTTTAATACCTGCCAAAAAAAAAAAAAAAATTTGGTGCTAATACTCGCCAAAAAAAAAAAAAAAATTCATACTAATACATGTTTTAACAAAGCACAAACAGCAAAAACGAACCAACAAACCAAAACTTAGTATTACCAAAAAGGTGCTGAAAAAACACGTATGCATGTAGCAAGGAGACTGACCCTAAAAGAGAACCACCAAAAAAGTTTGCCAAAAAAATACACCAATAACCCGAAGAGCCGAAGGAATATTCCAGGAACCCGAATCTGAAAGAGAAACATCCAGAAAAGATGTTAATAGAGTGAAAAAAATAGAACACAATTAACGAATAACTTATCAGGAACGCCAAAGAGATGCTTCTGAACCCGGAGAGCCAAAGAAATACTCCAAGAACCCTGAACCTAAAAGAGAATCATCCAGAAATAGTATTAGTAGAGCAAAAAAAAAAAATAGAACACAATTAACGAAAGACTTACCAGAAATGTCAAATAGATGCTTCAAAAATCCAGAAAGCCAAAGGAATACTCTGAACCTAAAAAGGAATTATTTAGAAAAGATGTTAGTAGAACGAAAAAAAAAAAAATAGAACACAATTAACGAATGACTTACCAGGAATGCCAAAGTGATATTTAAGAACCTGGAGAGCTGAAGGAATACTCCAAGAACCCCAAACCTAAAAGAGAATCATCCAGAAATGATGTTAGTAGAGCAAAAAAAAAAAATAGAACACAATTAACAAAAAACTTACCAGGAACGCCAAAGAGATACTTCAAAAACCTAGAGAGCCAAAGAAATATTCCAAGAACCCGAACCTAAAAGAAAATCATCCAGAGAAGATGTTAGTAAAGCGAAAAAAAAAAATAGAACACAATTAACAAAATATTACCAGAAGCGCCGAAGAGAAGAAATCTGAACCTAAAAGAGAATTACCAGGAAAAAAAAAATAATGTTAGTGTAAAAAAAAAAAAACCTCCCACTTAATGATTAACAAAAGACTTACTGAAAACACAAAAGAAATACTACAAAAACCTGAGCTTGAAAAAGGATCATCAAGAAAAAACATTAGTAGAGCAAATAAGAAAAAAAACCTTAATTAATGACTTACTGGAAATGCCGAAGGAATACTCCAAGAAACTGAACTTGGAAGAGAATACCAAGAAAGAAAAAAAGCGTTAGTAGAGCATAAAAAAAAAAAATTAGATCACCTAATGAAGACTTACTAGAAACGCTGAAAAAATATTTTAAAACTGAAATTGCCGTAGAGATACTCCAAAAAGCCTGAACTTAAAAGAGAAATACAGAGAAAAGAAAAAACGTTAGTAAAACAACAAAAAAAAAAAATTTACCGAAAAGACTTACCGGAAATGCTAAAGAAATACTTCAAGAACCCCAAACCTGAAAGAGACTTTTCTAGTAAAGAAAAGAAGTTATGTAGAAAGAGAGAAAGAGAGAAAAAATAAAACTACTCAATGAAAAAACTTACCAGAAATGCTAAAGAAATATTCCAAAAACCGAATCTAAAAGAAAATCACCAAGAAATATTAGTAAAGCAAAAAAAAAAATCAAAACCATTTAATAAAGACTTACGAGATATTCTAAGAACTCCGAACCTGAAAGAAAATCACCAAGAAAAGAAGAAATGTTAGTAGAGCGAAAAAAATAGATCACTTAACAAAAAAACTTACCAGAAATGTAAAAGAGATACTTTAGAAACACTGTACTTCAAGAGAAAAATCACATCTAAAAAAAAAAGTTAAAGTTGTTAAATAAGATGTATAACAGGTTGTTATGCATAAATAAAAAATAAAAAAAAATAAAAAAAATTACAGGTGCAAAGATCTGCAAGATTGAAATATCTATATATTAACAAAATAAAAAACAAAATATTAAAAAAAAAAAAAACAAGTAAACCAAAAAAATAAAATCGAAAGTAAAAACAAAAAAAGTAATTTTTGAAGTTTTTGTAATACTTATCAGTCAAATATTTAAATTTCGCAATATTGCGAAATAATTTTATCTTTTAAAATTTTTCGAAATTATTTTCGAAATATTTCAAAATATTTTGCAAAATATTTCGGATTTTAAAATATTTAAAATATTTCGAAATTTTTTTCGAAAATTTTTATTATTTTTTCATAAGGTCATGCAAAATTAATTAATTGATTTTCATAACCCGGTCGGGTCGAAATTCGAAACCTTGAAAAAAATTTTTTATATGTTTTAATAACCAGGTAGGTTTTTAAAAAAAAATTTATAAAAATTTTATAAAATTTTTATATATGAAATTTAAAAAAAAAGCTGGCCGGCTAGGTCTGTTTAAAAATTTCATATTATGAAAATCAATAAATTAAATTTGTGTGGCCTAATGCAAATTTTTTCGAAAAAATTCGTATATATAAATTTGCTAATGTAATGTCTTAATAATTAGACTTCCTTTACCCACTTTTAGTTTCTTGTTATTTATGGATTATTTTTAATGAATAGACTGTCTTCTCCTCACTTTTAATTCCTTGTTATTTATGGTTTATT